TAGTTTAATAAAATAATAATACTGAAATAAAACCTTTGTTTAATTGAACTGGAGGCTTTATAAGATGTGTGAATTTATAAGTGACCTAGTACAGACTAAATCTAAAGCTCACCAAAATAAAAAATATACTTTTAAAATTTACTGTTTACTCCTTTATTTAACACTTCCAAGAGTGGGGGAACCTAATGATCAGATACAGCCTATTCACACTGGAGTGGACCTTCAAAGCAGATGTGTAGAAATTACATTTAAAATGTATAACACATCAACTTATTTAAGTTCAGAAACTTTTGTGACGAAAGATGACTTCTTATAAACACTTACAAAGGAATTACTCATTGTGCATTTAATTACCAAGTTAAGTATGCGTGGGAAAACAACAGAGCATAAAACTGTCATAGCACTTCTCTATCCTGCTGCTCTGAATCAGGTCTTCAGGAAAAGAAAAGAAAAGATTAGAACGCACAGTAATTTTTTGCCATTAATTAGCTTTCAAGCTTTTAACACAGGACTGAAAGGTTTATCCATCATAACCAGTACAGTACAGTTTGTACTTAGAACTGAAGGAGCATCAGACTTTCACGTTTCCCATCACAGTTCTAATAATTACAATGTACCTGATTCTTTAGATAATATAGATTAAAAAGGAAGGGGGGTGGGAGAACAAGTTCAGTTCCAAGAAAAACTGAGTACCTTGAAGAAAAGTTTTATGAAATCTGAGGAAAATCTTGAAGGAACACAGTTATTCTGCTAACTGAACAGGTGCCAAAAGCATTACTGGATTTCTCACCTTGCGTATGCAAAAATTGGTACTCTAAAATTTAATCATTTGAAATTCGGAGGTTGCAATTTTAACTGCTGGCCTAAATGTTTATGAATAATTGCATTCAAAGAGTGATTACTGCTTATTTCTTTATATAAAGGATAGTGGTTGATTGAGCAATTAAATCTGGAACCTTTTTATTTGACCAAAAACTCATTTAGCCACCTTTCTTTTTTTTTCCTAAATCCCAGTTTCTACCCTGAAACCCAAGGATGGAGATGTCTGTTTTCTTTTACAAAGGTAGAAAGTTTCTGCAGAGAGGCTGGTCTAGTCACAGTTAGCAAAGTGTTTCAGATCCTTGGTGAAAAGCCTCACTCCATAAAGCCTCAACTGCTATAAAGCCAGAATGAATTATCTGGTTTTATAGATTTTTAATTCCCATTCAACTGTCTTTTGTCTTTCTCTCTTTCTCTCCCAGACAAAACCAGCAAAGAAGGAGTAATAGCTGGTGTCATTGTAGGAGCCATTTTGGGATTTATATTAATTGGCCTGATTGGTTATTTTATATGTGGTAAGAAAAGATCTGACTCATTTTCCCACAGACGGCTTTATGATGATACAAGAAGTGACCCAGGTAAGGAACAGCACAAGCGCTTTGCATAAGAACATTTATTTCTCCACAGGGCTGCTTAAATAGTCTGGTCTTACTGAATTATTAGGATATCATCAACTCCAGTCAAACTAGTTTTCAAATGACTTAATTAATTGTTTTTAAATTTTAGCTTAATCGATACTCCCCCTAACTCTATGTCTCCTCCTCACATGTTATTTTTTTAACCTCTGAAATATCAGGAATATCATATCTAGTATCAGTGAACTCATTCAAAGGATTGTGGGCAATTTCAAAACTATAGCTCAAGAACTCTCCCAAACTGATTAACTGAAAAAAAGCTAGACTCTCTAGTCATTCAACATCAATTACAGAATGAAGGATGAAGATATATCTGTTTCTATGAGTAAAAATATTTTTAAGAGGTTTAAAAATTAAAAAAATTGCTTTTGTCTTCTCTATGAGTATATATAAACTTGTATTACCATGTAATCACACTCCAAATATTTGTATCATGTTCCTGGACTTAATTTTTAAATGTTTAAACAAACACTGAGAGGCTAAACACACCTTTTTTTTCTCATATAAAGTAAAATCTAAATAAACCCTCGCAATACGCCTTTTCTGCCTTAAATGCAAGAGCTGAAAGCTGCCAGAATGTCAGATTAGGAATTAGCTTTGAAAGTCCACCACCCATGTGGATGCTAAATGGGTGTTGCTGGGAGTACATGAGTTATCTGCAGAAGATCATGAATCAGGGCCTTTATCCTTTGCTCTCCTGTATGTCAGAAAGAGGTTTAACTGTGAGGGGCTGATGAGGTGTCCAGTGTATGGGGATAAAAATCTCTCAAGCAATATATAAAGAAAAAAATAAATATATTATCCCTTCAGTTCTCCACTTAGACAACTCACTTGGACCATATGACACGAGTTTCAGAGGTGCATCAGACGACAAAACCAGCACAGCAGACAAGACAGAGGAAGACAGTGCAGGGTGCCCATCCGATGGCATTCCCATGGCTGACATCACACCACCCCACCCTTCACTGTAATGTTTGTTTCAGATTATATTCTTGCCTGTTCTCTACAGCCTTTCATTTTTTCCCAAAACAACCTGGCAGCTGTTATCTTACAGCCATTACTGTGCAAACAGTGTTTTGAAAACTAAGGGAAGAATCACAAGATACACTGATATGCAAGAGGCAGGGTCCAGCAGCAGAGCATGAGTACTCTACTTTGTAATTAAATGATCAATCTATGGTTTTCCTGGAAGGATATTATAGTTACTTTCTTAGAAATAATACAGATAAACAGCATTCAGGCAAGATTCTACCTTGTCAACAATGCAGACATTGTAACATATAAATTTTACTAGGACTGCAATGATATTTTAATATCAATACAAAAAAAAATCCTCAGTTTAATACCTTGAAGTGAAACTATTGTGTTCAAATATAATGTCTATCTGACAAATGACTCACGGCCCCACTTTACATTCATACCTTCCTCCGTGAATGTGACAAAATTAATTAGATTTACTTGGGTTACTCAGTTTTGATTACTTGAAGTTTGCTGCAGAGAATGGAACTAGCAAGTAACACGAACTGCACCTAACTTTTGACTAGGATGACACAGAATTAAAACCACTATCGATGGGAAAGAAAGAAGATAAGCTTCTACTCCTCTGTCAAACTGATCTGTTATTTGAATTGCAGGCCAGATCTGCAGAAATTATGTAAAACGTGTCAGTACAGGTTAGATAGAAGAAATACTAAACATGAGAGGAAAGGAATCTCTGCTGTGTATACAGATACCCTAAAAAGCACGGTCCAGTTCTGTCCAGCTAAAGCATAAAACATGGCAGTATAACGCAAATAATTGCATAGTTTATCTCTTTGCAACTACCAGACAGGCCTAAAGAAAAACAAAGAATATGAAAAAGACACAGTTGCAAAGGCATAGAATAAACAAAACAAAATGCAGAGAAAACAATGCTCATGGGACATGCTTGTGTTAACTGTGCTCTGCTAAAATGCTTTATCTGGTGTGGAGACTGTGGATCATGTTGATGGAGTTATCTCACTAACTGCCTGTGAAGGCTGCAATGAGGTTCTATTTGATATGTGAGTAAGTTACATGCACACACACACACACCAGAGAGAAACTGCTCAGTCACACTGAATATGGGTTAAATGGGTATTTGTTTAAAAGGTTAAAGACTTGATGTGCAGCGTTGCCATCCCCGTCAGGTTCAATCATAAAAACAGCACGTGAGCCAGCAAAGCCAGAACCTGATTTCTAACACTGTATCCATGTTGGGTAGCAGACTGAAAATCTGAGACACATTCCCCTATATTATGGGAGAATATCACCCTGCTGCTTGAAGTGAAGAAAAATGTAATGCTCAGCTTTCACCTTCCTTAGCACACACCTTACCATTTTCCTGACAAAGCAGTGTCATATAAGCAAATTCCTCCTTACACTTGAACCTCGGCCTCAGCGGAAAACAGAAAGAGCTCTCTCTAAGGAGAACTTGAGGACAGAGATGAAGAGATGCTAAGAAGCTACCAGTGTTGTCTGCACTGGTAACCATAAAACTAACTGCAATGTATTTTAGGAATTTATGAAAGCAATAATTAATAATTGCAATGCCGTAATAGCAAGATTAGGAGTAAATGAAGAAATATCACTGAGGCAAACAAAGTGTGCCCTTCAATTATATCATATTAATTTTTAACAATCCAATTCTGATTCTTGCAAGTGCTTCTGTTGTCTATGTAACTCTTTGATGTTTTGCTTTTGTTTGTATATTGTTTTTCACTTTTACCATACCAGCCTTCAAAATTCATGACACTTCTTTGTCCTTCACTTAAAGTTAGAATCATTAATGCTTACTCATATATATTACATAAATAAAGTTGTTGTGTCCCATTTTATTTAAAACTTGAAAACTCTGGCTTGAATTCAGACAGCTGTACGTATGTGAATTGGTGTTATTTTTTTAGGGTTTACACTGACAAACATTTATATTGGTAAAATTAATTATCTCTTGTTCTATTCCTCTTCCCTGTTTCCCAGCATGAAAATATTATTAGCTTCAGTGAAAGCTAATTCCACCAAGCATTTCATGCTGGAAGCATCAAATCTGTCTTTTATGGTACAATTACACTGACCTATTACAAGAGATGTCCTGGGTTACAGAAAGACTGTGGTATCCACCTTCTCTTTCCTCTTTTCCCCAAATATGCCTACTGATTTAGGCTGTGGGGAGGGACTTAAGATAAAGGTGGTAGTCTATTATCCTAGGAGAAGAATGTATCCACCAGTGTGAAAATACTGGAAGGTTGACTAACCTATATGTTTGCCTCTAAAAAGACTCTGGCCTGAATAATATAAAATTCAGGCTTAAAGACACTAAAGACAGTCATTACATTAGCAGTAAAAGGCATTCTTTTCACCCACTATTGGTATAGAAACTGAAGTGAATGAAAACAGGAAAAAAAATGTTTGTATGATAAAATCCTTCTTTAGACTTTATCAAGAGCTATAATCTCCCTTTATCAAGTAATGATATAAAAGGGTTGGGTAAACTAAAAAGGAAAAAAAATAAAGTAAAAATGTACTTACCCCAAATTGCCATGAAAATAGCAAAGAAGACAGTCCCTCCATTATCAAACAAATGTGTAACCTAAACAGAAAAACAATACACCAGGAACAATTAATATTGCCACATGCTCTTTTGCTCCCAAAATCCCAGAGTACAAAACTGGTGGAAGAAGCTGAAAGTTAAGCTTTGTAACAAGTAATTCTACTTGCACGTTTCTTCTACCAAGGTTTGTCACACTCTGTCTTACAGTAAGGTTGAAATCTGCTGTTGCTGACCAGCACTTCATGCATCATCAGACACTAGGAGCTGTTCTGTCCATGTCCAGGCAGGCTAAAAATTCATCCAGAATTCCTGTCATGTGGTGGGTCAGATTTAACCTCAACCTTTTCTATTTTACGGTTTTTATGAGCTTAAATAACTCTTCGCTTTTCTTCCTCTACTTAATGTCTCTTTTGATTCCATTTTATTCTTATCCTGAGCTGGTTAGCAATTTCTCTGCAGGTAAGAATAGCATGTATTCCTTTGTATCCAGGAATTATATTCAGCCCCTCAGATTGTTGACATAATCTTGTTTTTAAAAGGCTTGTGCACTTTAACTCCAACAAACATTAAATAATTTCTAAATATCACCCTCTAGAAGCCCACATAATTCTAAACCGTGAACTTAATTTCTTCTCATGAATACTCTTCTTTTAGTTGGATTTATTCCCTATCTTACTCTTTGTCAAAAGATTTTTTTAAGCAGAACAGCTATTTGGCTGCAAAGGCTAAGGCTTACAGACTGAACATACATCTTGAAACAGAAAATATTTATTTGTATATATTGACTTATCTTTATTTATTTATACTTACTGAAAATAAGTATTGATTGAAAATCAGGTTTTGCATGCCTATGGATCATTCTAAACATCTTGAGTGGGTAAATTTGATTCTTACAAAACTTATGAAAACACCATAATTTATATTACAAAAATCTGCAATTTCTAGTATTCAATCCATAATATGAAACCGTTTTTAGGAAGCTGATATTAAGATCAATATACTTTCAGTAAAGTTAAAGTTGCCAATTTATAGCAATGTAATTTATCCAAGGATATTGGGCCTACACTTCTTCTAATGAAGGGTGGTTTAAGATGTTGATGACAATTATTAAGCAAAGCAGAGACTTCAAATTCCTATTTGAAAAAAAAAAGCATAAATCATTATAAAATACTAGAGCAAACCAACCTATCATCAACAGGCCTATATTAAAAGAGGATCTGAAGAAGGAGGAAAAAGGAATGAAAAAGTTCTACAAATGGCTCTGATATCTATTGCCCTAAAACACTCTTTGAAATAAGAAGAGAATGTCTTGAAATGGAATATTATTGAAAAAAACTCTCATTGGTGCTGACTCTGTTGCTGACTTAAGAACCAATTTTTAAGCTTTTATAATGAAAATAAACCTGTCCTTATGCCAGTGTAAGGGCACAGGTAACCAGACTGACTTTTGCTGTACTGTGACCTCCTCTTAAACCTGAAGTTACTCTGGCCAACAGGAATGCTGTCCAGGAGGTGTGCCAGGATGCTGGGGCTGACAGCCTTCCTCAGGCAGGTTACCCAACCTGCTCCTGTGAGAACTGCCTGCTGCAAGGAGAACTGATCCTGCAGACAGATTTTCATTCTTCTAGAAAAGTCTGGCATTACTGCTTCTGCCTCAGAAATCAAGAAAACTAACTAATGAAAGCAGAAAATGTTAATAGAAACCGTGTTTCTTGCCTCTGTTTTATTTCTTATTGAGTAAAATTATAATGTTGTGAGAATTTATTATAAACATATATTTTATCTGTATGTCAGTTCTGTTTTTCATTTTTTTTTTTTGAGGTTTGGAAATGGGAATTGACCATTTGGTATTGGACACCAATAAATCCAGTATGTTCCTTGCCAGGATCATACAGTGGGATCAACTGTCAATCAAATATGTATTTTGCTTTGTTTTTCTTTTCCTTCCATAAAGGAAAACACAAACATAATGGGTATGAGACCAAAAATGTGAGAAGTGAACAAAAGCAGCACAATAACTCTGGTGAACATTATTGGTTTTAAGTGTTGATCTGTGTGAGGATATGACTGGATATTCTGCTCAGTAAACAGTGCATCTTTCCAAGAAAACACAAAATTAACCAATCAACCAACCAACAAAACCTAAGTCAGTAGAATTAATGTAGCTAAGAGTAGAAAATAGATACTGGGCTCCTGATTTGGCTTTGTCTTCACAGAGAGTGTTTGGGCAAAAGTTTTTCAGGACCACACTCAAAATTAAGACTTGACAGTCTTAAAGGCTAAATGCAGAGTCTGAGGCTGTTGATCAGAAGGCCTCTAAGCAGAAGTGACATTGGAGGACTCTGTGCTGGTCTGTCAGCATACCTGATTGATGTTGTCATCATCAGACACAACTTAAGGCATTTCAAATCCACCCTGAATCAACACCCTGCCCCAAGGCCAAGGTCAAGGTGTGCTGGGTGTAGGACCCATGCAAATCACAGATCAAAGAGTCCATTTGATGTGGATCAGAATGACAGCCTGGTCATTCAGCATTTCAGGTACTAACTACCTTTCCTTGAAACAATAAACCTCACTTCAGTGTGGCATTTTTGAATGGAAGAGGGAGGGGATGAAAGAAATGGGCAGGAACAAGAAGGAAAAAGGTTTCTTTTGTATTCTGTCTCTAGCTTTGGCCAAAAAAGCATTTGAAGTATATTATTTTTCTGGCATTAATCTGTTCAGTCCGAAGTGCTCCTCTGCAGGGAAACATGGCAGATATTTAAGAAAGAACCCCTGGCAGCAGTTTTAATAATCTGAAACATGAGCACAGGCCTTACATAAACGAGGCAGGTCCTATGACATAAGCAGGTTTGGGGAAATGAACTTTATAATCACTTAAAGGAACTCACTGTTCCTAATTAACATTTATGTACTCTACAATGAGCTACTTGAATGACTAAGGATTAAAATGCTTACTCCAGAATAAGGGTGCTGATATTTGGAATGAATCAGGAATAGCTTCCCTTGCCTATCAGTTCTTTGGTTATGTAGAAGTAGACAGAGAAGTAAGTTATGTTCCCACAATGACATAACCAGAGGAAAACACTGACAAGCTCCATCTCTGGAAAAAGAAAGAAGCAGGAAATGCCATTTTCTTTTCCCAGAGAGCAGATCCAATGACTTATTTTTAAATACATTAGTTCTACTTACTTATATTACTAACAGTGCTTCAGAAAGTACAAAGGACCATTTGATTTGAAATCAGACTATAGCTTTCTAACATTACAGACTGTTTTCATTCACTAATTTGGGTGCAAACACAGTGGAAGTGGTGACACATATTTAGATATTTGCTGCTCAACTTGAGTGAGACGGTGGCAACCAGTGGGATCACAATCCCTGCTGGAAACCAGACAGTCTGTACCAAGAGGTACTGTGAAGGTGCTGTGAAATTTTTCTTTAGAGACACCACAGTGAACGAAGGCATTACAGTTATAACCTTTATAAAAAGCTTCATTGAGCTTTTATTTATTTTTTATTTTTTTTGCCACTCGATTGGCCAGATGGTAATCCTATTGCTTCCCAAAGAGAGTTCTCTCTCTCCCACGCTTGGGGGAGATTCAGAACACATAAATCTTGAAAGGAGACAATTTTTGTTTGTTTTCTGTGTTCTAATCCAAGGTTGATCGGTTTTTCAGAGCAAGAGCATTGGCAGGAAAAGCTGGGAGCTTACATCAATTTCTATAATTGCAGACATGAGAAACGAGTGCCTGTGACTGTGGAATACGAGTGGTAACTGCTTGTCTTCCCTGGTTGTCAGCTGAATTATTCTTCAAAAGGATTGATTTGAAAATAAATGAAGTATGGATGGACTGCCACATTTTTTCTATGACAATGAATTATTCACAATGTGACATTAAATGTGACATTTACATGATTTAAGCAGATGATGTCAGTGTAAATATAAAGAAGACAAAAAGCTGCTTCTTATTAACTGAGATGTTAACATAACAGGATCTAAAATGTATTAACTTCCTGTTAAACTGCAGTGAACTGCTGAAGAGGCACTTACCATCTTCTAAAAAAAGGATTTCTGGGATGGGTTGTATAGCTTGCATAATGTTATTTCAATTAAGAAAGCTTTTACTTTCAGTGCACATTAAAAAAAAAAAGAAATTAGTAAAATAAAAGTTACAAAAAATCCTCATGGAGTCATTTTCTGCTATACAGTTACTCTTGCCTTAGGTACAACATTTTCAGTAATATTTCAGTGATATCAGCTTTATAAAATAGAAAATTAAATTTGGAAATTGTAAAGATTAATAATTTTTTAAAATATCTTTACAGATATATTTAAAGTGTTCAGTTTTTGAAACCTAATACAAAATTCATTTTCTCTTTCACACTGCTGCAGTTTTGTTGTAATGCCATGGAGCAGAGACCATCACGTTTTATAAATACAGTCTTCTGAGAAAGGATTTATCTTATGGGGGAAAGAATTCCAAGAAAAATGCCAATGCTGCTTTTCCAGCACTATGAACATATCACACAGCAAAATATTTTGCTCACTTGCAAACACTGCACATATACTGAGGTCCCTGTGAGTATTTATGTTTGAAGAATAGCTTCTTGCAGCAAAATATTTAATTGTGTGAAATCTTTGCATTAGTTCGACAAAGAACATCACAGGCACATTATGCTAGAGAATTCCTTTAGGAGAAGCAAAAATTCAATTACAAAGTAAGCAAGGGAAAGAAGTCAACTACAGGGGAAAGCAGGAAAAACACAAAAAAATTTATTATGGGGGACTTAAGTTGATGAAAATAATAATTTATTAATAAGGAAATGCTCACAGAATTTTAGAATAATCTCTGGTCATTTCAGATCATTTCCTTATTAAAAAGATGAATTCGGAAGGCTGAAAAAAATCTCTGTACAGAAACAACACATTTTTCAAGAATCTTTGCTGAAACAAGGGCAGCCATTACACATCACACAACGAAAGGAGGTCTTCAGACAAAACTTACCTTGATAGCAATAATATAATAATTACCTTGGCGTAGATGCAGCTTTCGTTGAGTTTCTGTAGTGTGCAATTGCGTTCACACATAGGGCACATAATGGTTTCATTTGCCTCGCAGATCTCTTTGCTTTAGTATGAGACAGGAAAATAAAGATTATAAAAAGACTCCTGGCATTCTCAAAATTTTCTGAGGTCATGCCATTTGTGCTCCCTGTTTGTTGAGAGTGCCTACGCCACAAAACTGAACCAATAAAATAAACCAAAAGTGAATGTTTGGCTTAAAAAGCCTAATCCCAAAACAGGAACCTGAAAACTATGGGTACTAGGGTGGTATGCAGTATTTTTAGACATCATGTTACACTTCTCACAATAGTGAATTCTCTCCCAAATATCACAAACAGAAGAATGAAAAATTGCTCACTACCTTCCAAGCCATTTGCTGCCAATTTTGCTAAATGATGTAGAAGATACTAAACATTGAGAGGATGAACATCACTGGTATAACTACATTGATTTCAACCAAATTATCCCAGTCATATCAGCTGAAGGTCTGTTGCACAGGATGATGATATACACACTTAGATCAGTCAGTCACATGTAAAAACCCACTGACAGGATTTCTGGCAGTAGTATTTCAAGTATTTGCATTTTTATTTTCTACAAAAGAACTTATGCATAGGACTATTAAAAAAACCCCACTTTAATATCCTACTTTGGGGATCACTATCTTCAAGCCACATTCTGATGTTTAAGAATCCTAAGATTTAGGAAGATGAAGTCACTGTCTTCACTAAGACCATTCATATTCAAAGCACAGTACATAACTTATTTTCTTGACAAAGGCATAACAGAACTAACAGAATGAATTTTAAAGGAAATTTTAACTGCAGTGAGTAAGCTTCCCAAATAATCACAGAATCATAGAATTGACCAGGTTGGAAAAGACCTCCGAGATCATCAAGTCCAACCCTTGATCCAATCCCACCGTGGTTTCCCAGACCATGGCACTGATGCCACATCCAGTCTCATCTTAAAAACCCCCAGGGAATGGAGAATCCACCACTTCCCTGGGCAGCCCATTCCAGTATCTGATAACTCTCTCTGTAAAAAATTTCTTCCTAATATCCAACCTAAACCTCCCCTGGCACAGCTTAAGACCGTGCCCTCTTGTCTTACTGCTGATTGCCTGGGAGAAGAGACCAACCCCCACCTGGCTACAACCTCCTGTCAGGGAGTTGTAGAGAGCCAGGAGGTCTCCCCCGAGCCTCCTCTCCTCCAGGTTGAACAACCCCAGCTCCCTCAGCCTCTCCTCACAGCACTTGTGTTCAAGTCCCTTCACCAGCCTCGTTGCTCTTCTCTGGATCTGCCCCAGCCCCTCAATATCCTTCCTGGACTGAGGGGCCCAGAGAATCTCAGCTATTGCCTTTCCCCATCCTTCAGCAATGATGACATGCCTGAACTGATCCTATGACGCACCAGGGAAGTAGAAGTATAAAACAAATGCCAGGAAATCCCTTCTAATTTGTTTTAATAAACCTTGCACTTTCACTCTTCTTCTTCTAAAAGTTGAATTTACACTTTTAACACTGTTTGGGAGATTATGCTTATTTCCAAATGAGTGGTTCTATTAATTACTGAAACAACAGTAAATATAGAGAAAAGATTAAATACAAATCGCAATCTTTGGTCATATTTCACATAACAATCACTAATTCACTGAAACCCTAAAAATAATGCGGACCTGACAAAGAAATCATCCTGGATAGCTCCTAAGCCAGAATGAGCAAAGCCAGACATTTCAGAGTTGCAGAGTAACAGAAATTTTACTGCGTGTCACATCAGTGAATTTTCTTGCTTACATTTTAGATCAAATTATTAAGAACAGAAAAATCACAATTTAATCACATGCTATAATGGTTTGGCAATAATGCAAACTGCTGTCAGATATAAGGCCAAAATGTACCGTACTTTGAATTCAAATTCAGATGATAAATGTTACATTCGCTGTATTATATATCTTGAGTTAAAATGTTGATTTGTTTTTAATAACACACGAAGTTTCACAAAATTATACTGACAGTGATAGGTCATATGCTCTCACACTACTCTGCAAAGACAGTAACATTTGTTATGCAAGTGTTTGTGACAAGTGCTATGTTAATTGTTATTCAATTGCAACTCAAATCTTCAGTATAAGAAAGCAAAATAAACTGCCTTGTACTGGTCTCGCCTATATATCTGAAATCTGACTGCAGCACATGGAGCAAAAACAGCTCAAGCTATGCTGTGTTCATGCCTGGTGTTTCTGTTTGACTGACAATAAAGGGACAATTCACAACAGTGAAAATTAATATCTATAAACACATCAAAACCAAACTCTTTAAAACTATCAGATTTATTTTTATATGGACTAATCGACTTGACATGCAACTTGGAATAAAGACAGTTAATAGATATGGCACATAATTTGTTGAGAGAACCCAAATGAAGGGAGTGCTATAGGGCTATTTAAGCCCTTCCATTTGACTACCACTTTGCATTCCCTCCAATTCAGCTCAGGGAGGACACTTAGATCAAAATCTATTTAGAAGGGTATGAAACAACAAATACAAGTTCATGTTCTGCACGTCTGAGTCCTATGAACATAATCCAAATATCCTGGAAGCTACTACGGAGTTTCTTCAACAGAGATTCTCTGGATATTTCTCTTGGTTACCTTCTTCTCATAATGGTATCCTGGAATGAGTTGCCAACAATGTAATCTCAGTACCCTAGAGGACTTCAGTGCTGTCTTATGGCAACCACAGTATTACTAAGCTTGATTTGAAATTCATGCAAGACAAAGAACATTTCAGTAACACTGTGCAAACAAACTAGATCTTAGCTGTGACGATATTCTGCATCATCCTCGAATTATTGATCCACAAAACTTATGGCTGGCATGCCAAGCAATGTTCAGTTCTGTGGCAATATATGCTTGTTTATTTGCTTATCCCTTCTCTGCTGAAACTGTGCTGGATGTTTGGAAAAATAAGAAACGATTGTTTCCTGCCTGAAGCCACTAGAGGGGGGTTGATGGCAGCTCCCTGCACCTGAGCGGTGAAGGAACATCACTGAGGAAATCATCCTTCTGCAAAACTGATTTGATCAGTTGCTAAATTCAGATTTTTTGGTACACAAGACTAATAAACTGGGCTTTTTGACAGAATCTATCATACTTTAAATCACTGCTTCCTAATGTCCACAGATTCCACATAACTGGTGTAATAAACCTGTTTCACACGAAATAGTGTTCAGCAAATAATACTGAATCTTGGGCAATGTGCCAGTTCTGATATTGCCATAATGCCCTAGCACTGCTATCAAATTCTTAATTGCCACTGGGTTTCCTGTGCCTAGATTTTTTCAGAATATTGTACCCAACTCTGTTTCTTCCTGATCGCTGCTGAACACTGCACTTGCACACTGCAGTAGCTGCAGTGCTTAAAATCAAGTGATAGATTTTAAAACTCTTACAGTTGCTCAGCTAGAAGTTTTCTTTAAATGACTGCAGAAACACTAGACAAATAATCTCACAGTCCCAGACTCTGGTAAGAATAAGAAGAGGTGTGCAGTCTGTCTCTGCATGTCTCCTGTCTGCTCTAGGTAGGAGGTTTCTCTCTAATCCTCACTAACACCTTCCAGGCTAAGTAAACAAATATGGCAAGGAGTAGCATCTGTTATCAGTGGCCTTTTGAATTGCCTAAGCACACAAGGTGGTACAGAAAACATCTACACACATTTTATCAGACCAGGCATAATCAGCTTGAGTTAGTTAAAATCTGTTCTTGAATCCACATTTCACAGCTGTTCTTAATAACCTGCTCAGAGCAATGCCCTGATGTGACAGCATTGTGTCCCAACTAAACAACTGCACAGATTCACATGACCAAATGCAGATAGGACCTTCTGCCCAGAATTAACACATCCAGATTACAGGTATGGGGCTGACACAGAGCACACAGCTAGGCCTTCTGCAAAAACCCACACTCCGAAAGTATTTTGAAATGAATTCTGGCTAATGATAGCTATAACAAATATATACTCACCTCCCCTTGTAGGTATTTAGGGCTTATATGGTGGACTACCTGACTTTCAGTCTCTTGTTTCTGGAATAGAGTCTGGAGACCCTGATGGGCTCCCTGACACTCTATATAGCACAGCATGACACTGAGGTACCTCAGGATGGGACCCAACACAACCAGCCCCCATGGGGACAAACTCAGGTCTGTGTGTTCTGTCTGCAGCTACTCAGCAGCAGCAAAGGGAAAAAACTGAGGGCAGGAAACCTTGGAAGACAGCCTATCTTTGTGCTCACGGGATTTATATCCTGCAACCTTCAGCAAGGAAGATAGCTGCATCTCTCTGTGAAAAGAACTTAACAGGAGTTGCATATTCACGTGTTCTTGGGAGAAGTGTATGACAAACAGGAGGTGACTGTCCTGCTCTACTCTGTGCTGGTGCATCCTCACCTTGAGTACAGTGTGCAGTTTTGGGTGCCACAATATAAGAAAGGTAAAAAGCTATTAGAGAGAGTCCAAAGGAGTGCTACAAAGACGGTAAAAGGCCTAGAGGGGAAGCCATAAGTGGTTGAGGTTACTTGGCTTGTTCAGCCTGGAGAAGAGGAGACTGAGGGGAGACCTCATAGCAGTCTACAGCTCCCTCTTCTCTGATGACCAGTGACAGGACCAGAGGCAATGGCCTGAAGTTGTGTCAGGGGAGGTTTAGGTTGGATATTAGAAAAAGGTTCTTCAATCAGAGGGTGGTTGGGCTCTGGAACAGGCTCCCCAGGGAAGTGGTCACAGCACCAAGCCTGACAGAGTTCAAGAAGCATTTGGACAATGCTCTCAGGCATGTGGTATGATTCTTGGGCCAGGAGCTGGACTTGGATGATCCTTGTGGGTCCCTTCCAACACAGGATATTCTAAGATTCTATGATATGCAAGCATACAATAGCTTACAGTTTGAAAGAATGAAGTTATTAGAAATTTTGTTCTTTTTCTTGGGGAGTTGTCAATGCCACACCTTTCTCTTCCCCAAAGAGTGCCTGAAATACTAAGCTGTACCTTGATAATAGTAGATTATGGCCCCTTGTTCCCCCTTTATTGAAACTGCCACTTTACATGCAACAAATACAAGATTTTCAGTTCAACAGCTCTAGTCCCTGTGCTCTAAGATCAGGCTGATCCTTGACTTCATATCCATTGTATTTTTTGGACATTTATGGTGATAAACAATCCTAATACAGAGAACAAAATCTTAAAGACAGCATAGTTTCCTGTCTGATACATTTATTGCATTTAACTGCATTTAATGTGGTTTGAATTTGTACAGTTTCTCACAAGTTTGCTGTAAAAAGCAAGACTAAAAAAAGGCATGCATTAAAACACTACAGAATACAACTCACTGTGAAAGTGAAATACAAGTTAAAGAAAATTCCATAAAGAAAACTTAATATAGCCTTGCTCCAAGCCCAAGAAGCAACACTTTCTGTGAAATCTGACTCCAAGTATACTTACAGCCTAAGTTCCCAAACTGCTTGGAGGAACAGTTGCAATTGTAAGAGGACTGACAGTGATGTGTCTGATAACATCTAATGGAAAACTTTGTAATGAGGGTGCATCCTCTGAAACAGTCCCCAAAAGTACAGTCAGCCCTGAACTTAAGCACACTCATCACAGCTTCTAAATTGACGTAAACCCTTCTCAGAGCAAAATCACAACAGTGGGAAACTTGAAAACTTGGTTCATTTCATGTGGTTGTAACCTCCCTCAAGTTGAGTCTCCTGGCTTCAAGTTACATTGACAAAGATAAGAATTTTGTTAAGACTCCATGTTTGCTACTCTTAATGCAGGGAGACAAAAAAAAGGCATAGGCAAAAGGAAGTTGAAGTTTAGTAACTGTACTACAGCCTGAAGTTATAGGCAAGATGGAGGTAAACAGGGAATATGTCTTGGTTTTCACCCTTCAATAAGATCAACAACTACTGCAGTATCTACAACAGCAGAATTGGTCCTTAAAGACAGGTTGGTCTGTTTTTCCTCAAAGACAGAAGGATTCACTGTGGATGCAGTAGTAAGAACAATTGCTGTCAATGGTATGCATCCAGCTCGATGTAAAACAGATATGCAAAGTGTATACACTTGACTCAAGTGCATAATATTCTATTTGGTTATTTTTACATGATTACCATATCTGGAAAACATTTAAAAGTATAACAATCTCGGTTGTGCCACACTGTTCTTAATTTTCAACAGGCTATTACATGTTATTAAACAGGATTTTACCTTACTTGGCTGGAATCCATCGTAAATAATCCATAGAGGAAAACAAAGAGCCCAACCAGAGCAGCAGGAATAAGCATTCCAGTATACCATCCCAGCCAGGCAAAATACAGGCCAATTTTTTCACCAAAATATCGCCTACATGAAAAGGAAACACATACATTGTTTAAAGTGAAAACTTATGGTGACTTCTATCTCTCTCTATTATCACAGTAGCAGAATAATTCTAACAAGGAACTACCATCACAAGGTCATGGCAAAATTGTCAGATTACCAAAAGGTGGGCTTCTTTTTTCAGGCTATAATAACATTCTAGTGACATCAACTGCAGACTTAGGAGGACATACAAGGATATAACTGAAGTGCCTCTGTAATTTGCATGTCCTTGCAATGGCTAAGTAGAGGTACTAGTATCAACATTTATTAGTTTAGTTAGCTTTTAATTAAGAGTGAGAGGAGAGGGGGGAGAGAGAGAGAGAGAATGTACACAGACACAAAAAGTTCTGGAAAGGAATAAAGTAAGTTGGTATGACCTAAGTATCCTATTATAAAAGGCATTTATGATAGATAATCCTGTAATATGACATATTTCAAACTATTACTAGTGAGAACAATGGTCTGAAAACACAAGCTGAAGACTGAGCCTTAATTCTTCAAAACTTGAGTATCAGTTGCTAGAACAGATGAAGTAGCAGTGATCAGAAAGTCAATCAAGGATGATACAGCACAGAATTGTCCCATAGCACATGCTTAGCTCCATGGATGACTGGTTATGACTGTCAGATCAGGAATAAAAACTGACAGCAGAGAAAATGAGTTATTGGTATTCAATGTCAGAGGAGGAAAGCATGAAACTCAAGTATCACCATTATTATGGGTTTGTATTTTAAGTTTCACTGCTTATTTTAAGTTTTCACTGCTGGAGCAGTTGGAACTACATGCCATTTATGCAGACTCATTTGAAATAAACAGCCCTACACAAAAGACCACCCAAAAGAAGCAATTTAGAGAATCCCAGTCTTATCTGATAAGAGCAAAATGTTATAGGAAAGCACCAGGAATTTAAGAGTACAGTTAGCACGCTGTTGCCAGGTTGTTTGTATCACAGAAACTCTTTAAAGTACTAATACCTGATTAAATCAAGAGGTTGGTATTTGTACCACATTCCCCACCGTGCCCAACGTTCATACAAGAGGTGTCTGTGATTCTGTGCTCCATGTGTTTTGATGGGATGTCTGCTTTTGTGGCTTCCCTGAAAAAACCACAAAGAAATATAAGTACATTACTAGGTACTATGGAAAAATATATATGTTTCTTAGGTTTTTTTGAATATAATTTTAATAGAAATATTCCTTAATACATAAGTCTCTTATTCTGGACACTTCTGGGATATGTCACCTGGAGCTAATACAAGCCTGACAGAAGAGACAGGGTTACATATGCTACTGAAATGGCCAGTTTCTCTAATAATTAATGACAGAAACATATTAATACAAGACTATAAAGAAGTACTCAACTCTTTATATGACTTCAAGTACATTGCTTCTATTTCACTAATATATGTCTATTTGTATGCTTTCAACTATTTCAATTTTTCAACAATTTTCAAGAGATTTTTGTGGTGTCTTTTTTTTGTCTCTTCTACAAAATTTTAGAAATTTCTGGTACATCAGCTCAGTTCTCTTCTCCTAGACATTTTCTATGACTTTAATTCACTACCGTTTGAAAGTATACAAAAAATTCAGTCTTTGTGTAGTACACATTTTCTAATATGATGGAAACAACAGGACTGGCAACATTTTGAAGCTACATAGGACCCTTGAGGCATTAAAAGCAGAACACAGAGTCAGTCTGACTGTCTGACATTTACAGACCACGTGACAGACGTAATAGCCTCATGCTTGGCAGTCAAAAGGTAACACACAGATTTGCTAGAACAATGCTGAGCAGAATCTCTTGTATCCATAATTATGCTCCAATGCTGAAGCAGGATATTTCCCTTAGTTGAACTTTTTCCCCCCAAAAACCCCCACCACTTGGCTATGGTAAAGAAAATATTTGATGAATTAACTGGAAGTGAGCCAAGTCATTTGTTGTGAGGAAGCTCCCCAGAGCAGTAGTTTAGAGTTAGTGATCAGACAGATTCTTGACCCTGGTAGATCCATGTAATTTAGCCATTCAGAATTTTATCATTTATTTGAAATCTTGATCATTCCCCACAATTCAAAGAACACCATTTACTTGTTGCAATCTGCTGATCCTCTGGCTTAAGAACGAGTTAAAAACAAAGCTAAACATAGCAAAGAGTCCAAGTCTACTCCTTTCTCCTTACAGTCAGCAAAACAGCATACCAAAGATGTCAACTCTGAGTGTGACCCTTGCAACATCTAGGAACACCTAGGAACAGAGCATTAACTTATTCTCACAGTCAGCTGGCTGAATGACTGCAATGCATACAGCATTACCCAGTGTTGCATGCTTTAAAATATTTTTTTCCCTGCTTCTTTCTGCCCTGTTTATCCATAAAAGAGTTTGAGTCTCAGTATTCCCACTGGGATTGAATTTCCACTCTTATTTGCTCATGTAGCAAAGAAAAAAAATTTTAAAAAAAATTGAATGTTTAACCACTAGTCCCTAGCATCAAGTCAGGCAGCAATTAAGATAAAAGTAGCTTAAAAATATGACTTCATTAACCTTAACTGAAATGTGGAAACAGTAGCTTATGCTAAAAATGAGGAACATATAAAATGGATATGACAGCATAGCTTTGGTGCCAGAGAAAGCTTCGCAGGCTTTTCTGGTAGTACAGCCAGCTTTTCCCTGAAGTCAGTAGCACACAGCTGAAGCGTTAACAATGATGTTAAATTATTTATCTAAAATACTCCTCCTCTATATTCCCAGTATTTAATTATTAATAGCATATTAAAAAAATTACTCTCAGCCATTTGCAACACCCAGTCCTTCGAAACATGAGACCAAGTCACGATACTGAGCCCAAACAACCACAGAGTTCAGAGCTGCAATTACCACACTCCTGAGAGCATTTCAAATGACTGAAGATGTGTGGCTTTCTTTTCAATACCAAAAGATTGTCTGAAAACCCTCTTAAGTCATACACAAGTGGTTTTTTTTTTACTTCATAGGTTTACAGTCTTCAGTAGACTCTAACCTACTGAAAAAGATATTGTCAAGTAGAAATTATCCAGAACTGTTCAGGAAAGGCTAAATGGGAAATAAATAAGTGGTCTCCCTAACTGTGATCAAATGCCCAAGCTATTAGAAAAACAAAACATGGTGGTAAGCAAAAACAATTTAATATAAGTGATTGGAAAAATGTGGAACAACCGATACTCTCACTAAGTACTCCACAGGCATTGTGCAGTTCATAAAAATCAGATAGAAATTATAATATCCTAGTTCAGCAAGGAAATGCTCCAGGATGTTATTATAATACACAATGTAAGGAAAAATTTAAAAGTCAATATTAAAGTAAGAGCTACAAATAAAAAAAGTATCAACAGATTACACAGTGAAATTAAAAATTTGCAGGACAAAATTAAAGTGGGATCCCAAACCATTAGGGCAAGCTTTAATCTAAATGTAGAAATAAAAATCAAATTAACTAGGTTACCTCATGTGGTGGAAATGCTGCTTCATATGTTCCGTTATTTAGTAACCTATTAATACCTTAAAAAAAGACAAAGCATTAGTTCTGATATCAATATTTTATACAAATTTTTCAAGTAGTGTGAGTTTTCAAGTCATATTGAGAATACAAATTAATATTAGATGATCAGGATGCTGCTAAAGATGACAATAATCAATAATCCCACCAACTATTGGAGAAGGTCTTGTGGATCCTTTCAGATTTCTGGCTCTGTCAAACTGCAGCAACTTGCTGAGGGCCAAAGCCTGCAACTTTTCTCTCAGAATTGGGTGCTTGTGTCAGATCGAGTGTGAGAAGATAGCTACATTCCTGTTGTACTCAGCAAAGCACATGATACAGATTTTATGGGTAACCAGATGATCTGACACACACAGAGAGTGGTATGGACACACAACCCCTGAGGCAGTGAAACCCCAGCAGGGTTAAAAGCTAACCTGGTATTTTTAAATTTAAGCCAGTTGAATTTCATATCAGAGCAGTGTTCTGCACCACACCGACTGCTGCATTTTGGTTCAGTTGCTAGAGTCTTTCTAAATCCAGATTTGTTATACTATCACAGTACATTATAAATAATAAAAAATAAATAACCAGTTACAATAAAAAGATTCAGTTGCCTGTAAGAGCAGACCTGTAGCCAAGAGTTTCCCCAAGAAATAAGAACATGTGATGGAATTCAGATTTGACTGTTCAAATATACGAATTATGCTAAATTAATCTCATAATTGAATTTGCCATCATCAACTGCAAAGGTGTAAGATTTGAATCCTTGTTATCTATGTTTTTCTTACTACTGCTTTTCTTCAGAAACTCAAGGAACAACCTTCTGTAATTTGTTTAATTTCCATAAGTGTAAGGTTTTAATATGCCACTACATATTTAATTCTTAATTTAATTCCTGCAGAAAAAAATCTTCTAAAAACTAATACTATATTAGGAGTGTTGATATAAACCTAATTTAGTCTTCAGAACAACTGCCTCTGAGCTGCACTGAGACCTCAAGTAAGTCAAGTGTAGCTCACATCGATTCTGCTGGACTGGAACTGCTGGATAGCAGCAGAAATATTAGGATCAGTCCTTGAAAACCCTGTCAGTTTTCTGAGGTATATGTTACCTTTATTGTGGCTCTCAATCAGTAAAATTATAATAACGTCTCCCCTTTTTTTTAAGGAATGAGTAATTAGGTGAAAAATATTGCCAGTTTTCACTGAGTTATTTAGGAAGATAATGATGGGACACTGCTTCAACTCTGAACGAAAAGATTTCAAGGAAAGAAAAAATTAAATTATTTTACTCAAATGGTATTTTTTCAGGAGAGTAAAGATATAAAATTTTATAGCTTCAAGTTAGGAAAAATAATACAGCATTCTCACCCATTTTGGATTTTCCATCTTCATACTTAGTTCTCTGTAGCACGTGATGCACGATTCTACTTCTTGTGGAATTGCTGAAGAAGCTATCTTTGTTGTTTATCGTAAAACTATTAAAATAATTAATGTTTTTTAATATTCAAAACAATGCACATGTGTTGAAACATAGCTGCTCAAGTGCTTCCTTCTTACAGTGATTTGGATCTTTACTTTCCTTGGTTACTGAATAAGACATAAGATCTTACATCCCTAGAGCAGGTCCAATAAAGTTATCCTCATCACAAATAATTTTTGGGAAAACAGAACAACTAAAAGTAAATTCTAAAATATCCTACTATCTAAATAATTTCTGTTCTGGACAAAGTTAATTAAAGATCTTCAGTAGCAGTAGTGGTCTTAAATTCAAATTACTTATGAGGTGACAGATGTCCATGGCATGGAACCACCAAAACTACTAATTAAAAAAAAAAAAAATATCCATGCACTGGAAAATTGAGTAGCATCTCCAGAACCATTTGCCCTTAGAGTATCCTAGGATGGAGCCAAATAAAGCATCCTTGCACAGATGGCTCCATTCTGGATGCCAGAAATCCGACACGCAGGAGCTTTCTCCTGCTCAGCTGTGCCAAAAGTGATACTATTAACAGTTGATTACATCAGCTGAGCTGGTTGAGAAAAAACACTAAAACCAGGGGCTTGACCCATTGAATATAGGCAATTACTGGAAAAAAAAAAAAAAGAGAGACTATCATGCAATTACTCTGTCTTTCAGGAGTAAAGTCAGTCCACTAGAATATAACTTCTTTACTGAAGAAATCTTGTTTAGACTAATTCATATTTCTACTTTAAATTAAATTTTCTCTCCTAAAACAATTGTCACAAAATAAGGACAGTCAGAAAAAAACTAAGGAACAGTCAGAATTTTAAATTCTAATTTTTTGGCTACTGAAAAGATTTACGGCACAGTTTAACTACATCACTGTCAACATGTTGATTTGACCACACGTAGTTGATATTTGGTGTACATATATTTGTACTTTCAGAGGCAAGAGACCTTTTTAAATGCGGATCTGATAAAACAGAAAAAAAAAATCATCCCTGGTTTTAGTTTAAAAAAAAAAATCATCCCTAGTTTTAGCTTAAAAAAAAATCATGCCTGGTTTTAGCTTGCCTCCAGGTGTTCCCAATATCAATAGCTGTATCAGGTTTTGCCTGAGTTAAATATGTAATTAAGCAAAGCCAACTTGAGCAAGTATTTGCATTTTGTAATGCAATGGAAAGAAAAACTGAAAAACTTCTAAACCAAAGAGGCAGCGATAATTTTTCAGCCAAATTTCTGCCCGTGCTACCGAGTGACTATCCAGTAACAGGTAAGACAGAGTAGATTTCTGGCTTTAAGAGAAAACACATAAAACCACCAAATACAATACTTAGGCATTAGCCAGTGACCATCTGTTAGCAGCTACCTCTCTGGCAGATATGAGAAAACAGAAAATCCTTGAGGTCTCTGGCGCTGCCTTTCCAGCTCCAGCACTTACTGGTGGATGCGTGCACGGCTGAAGGGTGCTGTGTAGCAATCTGTCTCCTCCAGATCAGGCAGGGCCTCCTTATCGAGCTTCATTGGGTTTCTGGGCAACCAACTTTTCAGCTCCCTCATATTCCTCTGCAAACTGAGACAGCGAGAAATCAGATTTACACACTCTCACCTCCTCGGTATTTCTATCTCCAGCATCGTATATTTAGTGACATTGTACCAGAAATGAAATGAAATCAGGAAATTTCCACATTAGGCAACTAAAAGAGAATAAGGAGTTAGAAAGTAAAATGAAAAATATTTATTTGCAATCCATCTTGCACACTTTACATGAGCACAACTCGTCCTAAAATTAGTGGATATGGGTTGAGATGTGACTGCAGTACTGAAAAAATTGGAAAAAATAATTTTCCAAAGTAGTTCACCTGGCAGAATAGTAGATGCTTATGCTTTACTCAAGAACATATCTAATTACTTTCTCAAGTGGAACTCCTTCCCCCTCTCTTGCCTGGCAAGACTCACAGTAAAATTCATAAATGTAAAAGTAAATATGAGAGTGCTAAGGATCAGATTATGGTTTTCTGACTGCAGAAAGCTCTTCTCTGCAAAATTTTCCTAAAAATCTAAGAATTGCCTTATGAAACAGTACACCCAATTGCCAAATCATGTTACACTGAAATGGTTGTGCAGTATTTAGGAAAAAAAACCAACAAAACCTAGATATGGATTCCTCCAGATTCCTAAAAATTAACACTACAAAAGACAAACAGAACATCAATGTTGTATCCTCAATTAGATTATATACTGGCAACATAAACGTTTAGGGTTTTTTTTTCTACTGGTAACTTGCCTAAATAGTGTCTCAGGACATTGTTTATTCAGGGTAAATATAGTGAAGTGCAGTGAATTCACTAAATATAGTGAATTTTCAAGCAAGCGCCCGAAGTTACTTATCACTTCAATTTTGCACCCCTTGCTGACCTAACGTTTTTCACACTCCACTGCAATGCAATATGGATATTTAAGGAGTAGATCTCATACTAAACAAGTGCTATATTGTGACACTATAAGCACATCAGAGATTCCGAAAAAGTCTAAATTTGAGAAAAACATGCCCTAAACAGTATTTTTCTCAGTAGGATTTGGGCTCTACTCAGTGAACATGTATGCATGATAGATAAAGCACATATATCTCATATCCACAAAAAGTGTAACACTTAGTGACAATTTTTTTTTCCTCTGAGGTGAATACTTCATTGGCTGTGCTAAGCAGAAGCACAGCTACCCATTTCATAATGTCCATAATAAAAAGTTATATTTCACAATGTTCATAATATTTCATAACGTTCATGAACATTATTTCATAATGTTCATAATAAAGAGTAATAAGTGATGATACAGTAAGTTGCTCTCAGGCAGCAAAGTGACCCAGGTGAAGATGTACCTCTTATTATCAACATCTGCAAAAATGTTCTGCCCCTATTTGACACAGTGTCAGACAGAAATCTCAGCCAAATGTGGGAGCAGGATTTTACAGTTACATTTAAAATTCTCAGCATTTTCTTCTCACTATATATTGCAAGGTATTGATGCACACTCTGTATGTGACTGTACCTTGAGAGCCACCACTTGTGTTTGACTCTAACCACTATGAGCCAAAGAACATAATATGTTTATGAAGCTGAAACACAGAATACAGTTCCCAGGCAGGTGCATCCCATAACTGTCTCCTTAATAATACCTTAGTGCATGAGTTGATTATCTTTATTAGTTCCAGTGCAAGTTCTCTCAGCACACAGTGTCTATAATTACAGTTTCCCTTTATTTTCTCCATCTCTTTTTTTTCTGTCATACACATGCTGATTTTTTTAGTCCAAATCCAGACTTTTCTTTAATGAGAAAAATATGCAGATGCATCAGAAAAAAGGTAAAAACAGTGCATCTGATTTCAGGCTCCTTTATCATGAAATTATTTTAAAATTGGTTATGTGAAAAGTCTTGATCATTTCTTCCATACAAAAATCTAAAAAAAAAATAGTAGATGAAAAAGTAAAGAAATTAACTCGTTTAAAATTAATGTTTGCTCTTTTTAATATGAAAGACAGCATTGGAATAAATTAATACTTATGTCCCCATTACATTTGCAGTTTCTCTTCTGAGACAAAAAGGTTTTTTATCTAAGATGTTATTGCCTTTTCATTACATCACTTATGGTCGATCATTTCAAAATTTAGTGACTTCACATAGCATAGCTACTGAAAAGAACATCACCCCCATGTATAAAAATAATCCAACAAGACACTTCTCCTGACTTATGTTATTTTACTGTAGAAGAAGAACTGAATTTTCCTGGTACCTTCACTTAAAGACAAATTTTTACCTAAATCATAGGACTAAGTATTAGCATTTCTACTCAGAGTGGCTTTCTAGGTCCAAAGCAGCAGTTTAGACAGATTCCTGATTTAATCTATTCAATGTCATCTATTTAGTGAGAGTAAAAGCAGACAGAGCTGGTCTGGGGAAGTCAGTAGTACAGGCAATGAGATCAGAAGTGTCCCAGTAGAAGCACAAGATATGAGCTGCTGCTTCAGGTGTGCTCTTACTGCAACCACTCCAGTTGGTGCTCCTGGAACACTGTGCACCTCGGACCAAGGTATTCTGAAACACCTGTGCATTTCATTCTTAGCTATAAAATTTAATATTTTATGAAGGTGCTTGCAATGTCATTTTTGCCCAAATTCCAACCTCGGTGGTACTGTTCTGATTTATTTGGTTGGTTAATCTTTTTTTAGAGAATTAGCCCATCCAAAAATCCTTGCAGGTTACATTTATTCTTCATACAGCAATACAAATGGACACTGTATAGGTGAGTTTAGCATTATCTGATCAAACTCATGGAATGAGATACCAGAATTAAGCAACTCCACCGGTCTTGTTAGGTAGTTTTGACAGAAATCACCACCCAGTAGTTTGCTTAGTGTTTGTGCTTCTCTAGACTGGCCAGAAATGTCACCCATGTGCCACCAAGTCACATGGGCATGGTGCTTTTCCATGTTTTGTAACAGGAAGCATGTAATGGTTGACAGATTCAACACACAGACACAATTATCATCAAAAAAAAGGAAAAAAAAAGATACTATGTTTGTTCCATGGAATGACATCAGTAATTTCACTTCAGTGTGCAGACTGAAATCCATAAGATTTCACAAGTCCTTCTGCAAAGCAAACTTGCTGCAGGTCAGCTGCTAAACAAAGTAATTTTCAGTTCTCTGTCCTTAGAAGTTTTAAGTGATTTCAGCATTTCAGTGGGCAGAGGGAATCTGCACAATAAGACAACTACCTTTTCATTTTCTTTTCCTTGATGTCATTCTTTACCAGCACGAAATCAGCATGTCCAATACAGCAGATTCAAGACTGATTTATTTGATTATTTAGTCTTAAATCTGAGACTTCAAACAATTTTTGATACCCACACTATTTACTGGCATATTCCTTTCCTTTGAGAAGATTTTTTGAAGGCTTTTCAAATACTGCTCTTAATAAATACGAGAGAACTATTTCTATAGTGTGATCCCATGAACAGAAATCACATTTCATAGGATTAAGTACAATGTTAAGGACTTTTCTAAAGGTATACAAATAAAGAAATAGAGATACCACATAGATACCACATAAAGGAAAGTGTACCATTAAGCACTACATTTATCTTCTGTCCTTTCACTAGTGCACCTAAAAATCTTCTGCAGACTTTTTAAAGAACATCTGTCATATAACCATGTCAATAAAGCCAGAGAAGTGTACAGGTCACAGCAGGGTCTAATATGCTAGTGTTACTTCATATTCCTAAATTAGAAAAACTCTATAGCCTTCAAATTTTATCTTTGATATACAAGGATTTTAGTAAAGTAATTCACTGTAGCTCCTATGAACTCTATTTAATAACTTAGAAATATTAACAAGAGATTTAATAAATTACAGACAAGCAGTTTGAGTTTGAAAAGTTGTAAGATGCAAGGAAACAATGACAGCTGTAGAAGTTAAAATGATGAAATGTGTATGTCAGCAGTTTTAGAGTTAGCTTTCATTCTCAGATGTAGCTTTCTTTTTTTTTTTTTTTTGTTTTCACATTATTCCTTTGTGCACTGAATTACACAAAGTGTCAGAAAAAATATTCAGAAAAATGTTCATCCCCAAATTCTCACAAAGGACATCATAGGTAAAAGCATTTGCCTCAAATGAAAACTCAATCTGGCATGAAAATTGCTTATCACTTGATTCAGAAGTACTGTGCAACTTCAGTTGCACGTTTCAGATACCTGAACAGGGAAAATATCCTTCTAAATAAGGAAAATAAATTTATTTAATATGCAAGACTCACCAGATGGATTACAGATGAAATGAGACAATTTTGAAGTAAAGCTTGTTGATTTTGCCTTTGCATTAAAAGCACATCACTTACATTTTTCACAATGCACGCTGAAATGGAGCAAGCATGCGAATGACTGGGAAGAGGAAAAAACGCAGTTGTAAATTTATGTTGTAGATTGTTTTATTTCAAAATATTTTATCTGCTTTTTGTTTGAGTTTTCTCCCTTTACCATTCAACAGTGCTTTGTCTGTTTTTGTCAGCAGATCATCTTCCAAACTGTTATCATGAGAGTACTTAAATCGTTCCAGAGAAATAATGAGAGCTCTTCATCATCTAAAGCAACGACAGAGAACCTAAATCCGATGTTATGTCATCTCAAGACCCATCTCCAGAAAACTCACGACAGGGAACTCTCTCAGGAGATTTCCCTCATGTAAAATATTTTCATGTATCTTTTCCATTGGTGATTATGATTTGCAAGACATCACTATGTCTGACCAGAGCAATGGGGAGTGATTACAGCTCACAGTGTCCCCTGTCCTCACTCCTCAGCACCCCCAAGCTCCTTTCACCCATCCCTACAGCCTCTCGTACCCTTCTCCTGGCTGACAGAAGCACCACCAACAGCAGAGCTACAGGTGAGTTTTGCAAGTTATTCTGTCAGCCATCAAATAAAAGTTCAAAGCAGCCTTTGGTGTGTGGCATTGATCTGTTCCTGATCAGCAGGCACACAGGAGAGAAAATATGTTTGCATGTCTAAGGAAACAGCTGACTGCCAGAATCTGAGACATACACTCAAAAGTATGCCTCATGCTAAAAAGGAATGCCTTGGATTCAGCAGAGATAATGGTAGAGATAGCTCCAGTGTTAAATCTTAAAGGCCAGGATAAGGCCTGCTTTTTTCCCTCTGGCATTAACATGTTTTGATTTTTAAATGATAGCTGGCAAAGCTTCAAAGTACTGCACCTTGTTACAGATGAATATTTTAACACTTTAAGATGACATATTTTGAGTTTTCAGGAAAATAATCCAATTTGCCAAGTTTCATGGATAAATTTACAACTGCGAATGGATTTTCTTTACCAGGGTGACTATCTGACAAAATTAGAAGCTACACATCACCCACCAACCTGCCCATGGTTTTGCTCCTCCAGTCAGTGTAATAACATTTTTTCCTGAAAGAACAGCAAAAATCAGCTGAGATTAATCAAGTAGGATACAGTTGAAAAGGACATATACATTAAAGAAGAATGTTGGACATTCTAAAACATGCATTTTCATAGACAGAAAGGAGAAATCACTTTAAAAATGCAACTGTAATTAAGTCATTAAAATGACATAATTTCACTTTTTTTTTAAGTTTTACATTCGTTCCTGAGTCAAAATTACATTTTAGATTTGTAGCTAATAACAATAACAATAGATAATTAAAAACTCATTTAACAGTTCTTTTCTCTCCACCTTTCACTGCCTATAGACACTTAGAGAAACAGGACCAGGAATTCCCAGTCAGGCTTTCTGAGAACAGTTACTCTGAAACCAAACAGAGACGTATTTGCTGCACTATAATATTTTGCACACCTAGTTTCAGGTTTTCAGGCTTTTTTCTGGTCTCCTCCTATCATTTCATGTCACATTTCAACCACACAAAGGCCTTGATCTTGCAGATTCCTCAGGATTTAACAAGATCTGCAACTGCCCATCCGGGCAGTATTTGAGACTGAATAAAGTACATTACTTACCTTGAAGAAACACTGAAATTAATACATTAAAAAGAGTGATGGGAAATATGTGGCCACTGCAAAATTGTTTATCCACCAATCTGCAGGCTGCTGGCAGCCTGACACTTAGTACCACTAGGCAGAATTGCAAATGAAGCAATGATTAAAGGATTTTCAGACATTTTTTAACAAAACCCTTCCTTAATTCCCTTTACCCTTAGCTGTTTCGCACAGATGGAGTCCAGCTAAGTTACAGATACAAATAATTTATTCATTACACATAATTATAATGTTTCATGATTTATTTGTAGACACAAATAAAATTAAACTGCCTGAGTTCTGGAAATACATAATAGTTTCATTTCTACTGACAGACCACATACTAAACAAAAATATCTATAAATTTTTTATAAAGTTATAATTCAGTCATTACCTCACCTTGGAGCTTACAGAAATCCTGTTTGAAACCATATACATATACTTTGAAATAAAGCAGCACTGCAAAAGTCAGCCTTACATACAAGAGAACAGTGATTACCACTGTCTTTTGAAATGTTAGAAAAATTTCCTTTTGCAATTGAAACACTGAGATACCATCTATATTATATATATATATATGATGGATCCTATAAATCTGCCAACACATTTTAGTATACTACCATGCTAAAAGAGTTCTGGGATGCTGGGTAGTCCCTTGGGCCAGAATAAAAGTATTTTTACTTTCCAGCAATAGAGAGAAATAACCCATGTAATAATAATTCTGTTGATTTTGTTTAGATTCCTGGATTGAGCAAAATGAACCTAAAAAGTATGAATTGAATTCTTTATGTGTTATTGATATATGATACTGATACATGGTGTATTTTAGTGACCATAACCAAAAGCCAAAATTTTGCATGACTGTGCAAGAGAACAAGGGTGCACAGCATTAAAGTATTGCGGGGAAGGTTACCTTTCTTTTCAACTATACACTAAAACTGGACAGTCAGAAACCACTGATAAAACAAATAAAGGCTAAGAGAAATAATCTGGTTTTTACACTCACAGGATATCTCAAGTAGGAAGGGACTCACACAGATCATCAAGTCCAACTCCCTTCTCCTCTCAGGCCCACTTAAATCTAAGGGTGACCTGAAACTTTTTGGGAGGAAGCTACTCTAGTTCACTGAGAGTAGCTTGTGAGTAATTGTGTGAGAGAACTGTATGATTTGAGGTTCCTCTGCCCACCTCAGAAAAACAATATAGGCCATCCAGTTAGGAAAGGTTTGTTTTAAACAAGCAAGCTCAACTCTTAAAAAACAGTGGTTTTGACAGAACACGTAATGAAATTACAAAATGCGTGTTCACATCATGTTGTTACAGGAGTCTAGGTTGTTATTTTTGCATCCATGAAAAGCCATCAGGAGCAAATATAAAGATGAAGACATGAATGACATGAACTCTGCCTCCTCAGCAAGCCTCTAAACCACAAACTCTAAGCCTCTAAACCACAAACTTTACAGAAGTGAAGAGAAAAGGCATCATGGAACACTGTTTATCTCCTGTAGGGGACACTTCAGACAGGCTGCTGGCCTGTTTTAGATTGCAATTTCATTTAAATTCCTATTAAAATCTTTTTAAAGAGAAAAGCAGTGTTGACCAATTTACTTTTTCTCACAGTTCTATTACAGAGGTAGAGGTGGAAAAGTTTCTTACCAAATAAATTTATTTCATACTACAGCAAAACTTCCAACATGGTGAAAATAAAAAGTTCAGCTTTTGGTGTACTGAACTGAATGGGATAAAAAGAAGCTAAAGCTCAGGAAAAAGAAACATGGATCAGACACTTCAGGGAAATAATAAAGAGAATATATTTACATGTCAGTTAACAATATAACAAACAAATATAGCCTAGTATGCCTTGCAAATAAAGTAGCATTGCAAAAGTCAGCCTTTTTTTCTTCTGAAGAGTACTACTGATCTGTGAAGTAACTAAAATGATGAAGAAATCAAACCATTGCTAAAACTCAATTTTGTGATTTCATGTATCGAAAGTAAGAAGGAATTATTTTTTTAATTGGAATTTAGATTATTTATGTGTGCGTACACACACACATAAAGACTTCTATATTTAAAATATCGACAAGTATTACTCAAATTAGAGAAGCTCAAACAGCACTATAATGATATTCTTAACCATATGGAAGATGACTGTTACAGAAAACATTTTTGTTATGGAAAAGCCTTTAAAGGCTTAATGGGATGATGTGGAAACTCATTACAGAAGTGGGTATGTGAAACAGGTTTTGAGCAAAGGATGCTTCACAATGACTGTTTCTGGCTTAGGATCAATGCAAGAGAGCCACACTGCCACAGCATGAAACACTGAGCAGTTGGCAGTCTGAGTGAGAAAGGAGTGCTGTAAGGGTATTTTCCATGAGTCACACAATTTTGGAATCTAGTTACCAGTTTAACTCCTCAGGAGGTTTACAGCACACTATGTGCTCTTCTGTCTCTCTAAGAGCATTATTAATCAATTTGAAAAGGTACATTTTCTCCTTTAAAAATTTCTGTATTATTGCAGGAGATTTTAACCTGGTCCTACAAACCAATAACAAATATTTATTGCAAAAACATATGACAGAATTTGTTTAGCACACAGACAAGGAACTCAGTTCAGTTCATTATTCTGCCTAAGGAAAGCTGCTGGACCTCATTTTACTCAAATTGTGACAATATGTGTTATATTGGAGACATGGAAGCTTTTTGTGTCATTCTGCTTGCCTTTGGGGAAGGCTTCAGAAAAACCCTAAAATCGTGGAGAATTACTTGAGCTCAGAGGGAGAATATCTGAAACACTGCCAAGGACATCCAAAACAATGTGTGAACTACTAACAGTGTTTTCTAAAGACATATGTTCAATTTGACTTAGAAGGTAAGTTTGAAAACAAGCACCCCAGAATACTGTGCAAAAACATGGCAAGAGCAGGACTATTTATTCCTCCTCTCTTCTCTTCCTAATCATATCACTAAATCAAATATGAGTGTGGCTGGCTACAGAGCTGTAAAGACTGCATTTTAGCCTTAAGTAAATAATGAACTTTTAATATTAAGCACTAAATTATTGGTTTCTTAAAACAGTTTCCACAATACCTGAAAGGCATCCTGATGTTCATTCTTTCTGCATATTTGCACAACGTCTCCCATGGACAGTGAACTTTAACAAACATGATATCACTGTTTGTAACAGCTGGCTGTAAAGAGAAGTAACAAACAAATGCACATTAATAATTTAAACCTTTATGGCAACTACCTTCCTAGAAACATTCTTCAGGGTCAAATTCTGATTTTAAGTCTGAAGTTGGCATGCAAGTCTGAAAGCACAGTAAGTGCTCTCAGCTAGACAAAGGAAAATTAGTAACTTTTTTCCCCTCACAAACTCCATAATATGCACAGACTAGTATGACAAAAGGACTCTGTTGGAAAGATCTTTCCTCATGAACACAAGTAAAATAAGAAAGCCTTAATGCACCACTTTTTTACATGGAATAAATTACTTAATTCTAAATCTCCATAAAATCATCTTAGTTTGAGTAGTTTGAAGACCATTCTGTGTGTCTCCCATTTAAGGAGAAGAATGCTCAGATGCTAGAGAAGTAAGAACAGCTGAGAGGAAGCTCCAGGTTGCACCCTGCCAAATTGGTAATTGCAATATCTGCTAGGAACTTTTAAATGTGATCTCTGTAGGAACTGAGATTTTGTTTTTGGTAAAAATTATAAGGTATACTCTAAATGTTTTTCATCACCAATTTATTTGTATATAAAACAAGAGTTTCAGCTTTACAGGTTTCTATATTCATCTTCTCTTACGAAGACTGCAGTTCCACACCCTTCTCCCAGGTGTATTTGCTTGAGATTTTATAAGTAGATATTTTGATATTTGAGTTGAGTCTGATTAAAGCCTCCGAAAACTTCAGTTCGCAAGTTTTGGTAAGTAAAGGTAAAAGAAAATGTAGTTAAAGGGTTAATAACACTTAAAATGTTCACAGTTCTACCTACCAGTTCCATAAAGTCATATCACAGCTCAATAGTACCACCTCGAGGATTTTACTTTTCTCAAAAGATGTGGAAAAAAATACTAGTGGAAGACAATTTAAAACCTTTGATAAGTAGAATGATGATCTCATAATTTTTTTTCTTAAGTGTCAATAATTCTGAAATTACAACAGCTGAGATTTTACTATGTATTGAAATTGGAACAAAACTAGATATTTTTACTACTAGACTGTAACAATTTTTAAAAGCCTTAAAACCGAATTTTAGTCAGGTAGGTTATTTATTAATATTTATATGCTACATTGTGAGCTATAACTTGCAAGCTCATTGCTTAAACATAGGACATTCTACTAAGCTGAAAAGAATAAATCAGGATGAGATATACATGAAGTACAGGATCTTACTTCAGGATAAACTAAACACACACCTGTTTTGCAGGTGATTCATGAAACAGCAAAAATACAAGGCTGTTTTCCTGACTCTGTTCTCCTTTGTTTATATTAATACTTCTATTACTAGCCATGGATTAACTAGATAGTGACAACCTTAATCCTTTGAAAAACAGTGAGATATTTAGCATCATGCATTCTGCTGAAAGACATAAAGGTTACATATTAAAGCAATAACACAGGTTACTGAAGCTTCTTCTGTTCTGCAAGCATTAGTAGCTAGAACTTTTCCCTCTGTACTGCACCACACCTCCGTGCTCAACCACATATCCCCAAATCATTTTAAACACAGGCTATCAAACAATTTTTCTTATTAATTTAATACAATTAAACAGGTGGTGGGGACAGCCTGACTGGAAAGGCTTGCAAGATTGTCAGGAATCTTTTATCAGTTCAGTAAAGTTTTTATGCCACATAAGCTACAAGACTCACCTCCCGTTCTAACATCAGCCCTTCTGCTCTCAAATTCTTCTCAAATGTGCTTCTTTTTTCTACCTGTGGACTTGATTTCTTGTAGACCAGGATGTAATCAATGCGCTTTTTGCCATCTTTGAAGAAGAGTCCTGATGATGCCATGGCATCACTCTAGAGAAGACATAATAAAAGTACACTGAATATGGCATCTAAAAAGAAGAAGAGTCCTATCATGAATAGCATATAACACAGCATTTCCTAAACCACAGAAATGTCCACATAATGGTAGGATGAATATGTAAAAAAGCTGTAAGAATAAAAAGTCAATATGCATCAGTTGCTCAGGATTTCCAATAAATTAGAACAAAACAAAACAGCTTCACAAAACCCATATTCTAGTTATTTCTTTCAGCTGTGAAAAAGCCTTAAAATTATTGTGTGATGTGTACCGATATAAACTTCTGCTGATTCTTATTTTCAAGGGGAATTAAAAAAGAAAATTAAAGGCAAGTAAATTAAAGCAATTTTCTCTCTGATTTGTACCTGGGAAAATTTGATAGAACAAACATACTTGTATTTTCTCCAAGAGAGAAATAAATCTAAAAAATTAAAAAAGAAATGGTATTGATTGGAATGTTTTCATGGATATTCTAGCCCAAGTGCTCTTTCAATGCCATGTTAGCAACGTTTAAATCTTGACTAGTTGCTTCCCACCGTGCTTCCAAACACAAGGGATTGTCTGACCTTGATATGGAAAACCCTGATTTACATGTTGCTGCTAATGCAAGATATTTTTGTATTCTGTGCTTTGCATGATTTAGAACAGACAGAGACTATATCAACTGGTGTCAGACTATAGAATCATAAAATCATTAGACTGGAAAGAACCTCCAAGATCATTGGACTTTTGACCAAACACCACCATAACAGTTAAACTAAATGCCATGTCCAGTAACTGCCTGAACGCTTCCCGGGATGGTTACTCCAACACCTCCCTGGGCAGCCCTCTCCAAAGCTTAACCACCCTCTCAGTGACAAAGTTCTTCCTGATACCCAACCTGAACCCTTCCTGGTGCAGCTTGAGGCCATTTCCTCTTGTTCTGTCACTAGTTGTCTGGGAGAAGAGGCTGACCCCCATCTTACTATGACCTGCTTTCAAGCAGTTGTAGAGAGTGATAAGGACTCTTCTGAACCTCCTCTTCTGACTAAACACCCCCAGCTCCCTCAGCTGCTCCTCATATGACTTAATCTCTAGACCCCTCACCAGCTTTGTTGCCCTTCTCTGGACCCACTCCAGCCCCTCAATGTCTGTGTTGAAATGAGGGGCCCAGAACTGGACACAGCAATTAATGTGTGGCCTTGCCAGTGCCAAGCACAGAGGGATAATCACAGCCCTGCTGGCCACACTACTCCTGACACGGGCCAGAATGTCACTGGCCTTCTTGGCCACCTGGGCACACTGATGGCTCATGTTCAGCCAACTATTGACCAGCACTCCCAGGTGCTGAAGACTTTGAAATCTGAAAAGGTAAACTGAGAAACTGCCATCATCTTCTGGAGAAGTAGCACTCATTTAAACACAAACTGTCCAAAACAATCATGTTGGTTTCAAGTAGGATACATTACACCTATATATATATGGGACCAGACGTCTGTGAATGCTGCATCTTTTAAACAATGGGAATGATATTTGGATTATTTGGATATGAAATTTATAATACTCAGCATTATATCCAATAGCTACACTCTCTATTGATACTGATAAACAGAACCATGTGTTAGTGCATTATATCAGCAGCATAAATACTGGATACCAGCTCACTTGTTTCTATGTGAAACATTTGTCTTACACCCACATCCCTCGCCGCCAGCTTTTTATATATTTAGTGCTTCTGAGAACTCTGTCTGCAAAACCTAAGGCGTTCTTACAAGATTCTTCCTCTTTCTTCGCTTTTTTAAGTCCCAAAATAAAAACCAACAGTCTTTCTCAGACCATCTACTATTGCAAAGGAGTGCATCATCATATACTTAAGTACATTAAGCTTCAGCTGATGATCCTTTAAGATCATGGAGTCCAATGCACTGCCCAGTCCACCACTAAACCAAGTCCCTAAGTGCCATATCTACACATCTCTTAAGGATCTCCAGGGATGGTGACTCCCCCCTCTTCCCTGGGCAGCCCATTCCAGTGCTTGACAACCCCCTCAGTGAAGAAATTTTTCCTAATATTCAACCTAAACATCCCCTGGTGTAACTTGAGGACGATTCATCTTGTCCTGTCAATTGGTACTTGGGATAAGAGGCCAACACCCACATGGCTGCAACCTCCTTTCACGTAGTTGTAGAAAGCAGTAACATTCCCCCTGAGCCTCCTCTTCTCCAAACTGAACAACTCCAGCTTCCTCAGCCACTCCTCATAAGACTTGTGCTCTCGATCCCTCTTTGCACACACTCCAGCACCTCAACATCTTTCTTGATATTTAGATTACTAGTATCTGAAGTCCAATTTAAGGCAGTAAAGACTGTCAAACTAGACTGACAGCACACTGAACTCAGGGCCTGTCACCCCTTCTAAGAATTCTGAAAGGGGATAGTAGTAAAAGCTTTTTATGTCATAGGTGAAATGATCTGAAGATGTAAGATGCAGAGGTTTGAAGGTGAGCTAGTAGATTAAAGGTTCAAAAACACAAATTTGAATATGGAAGTTTTTAAAATCCAAGCTTTTTTCAGGTTCAAGACATAAGCAATGAATCTGCTCTTTAACAATAAAAGATACCTGTGCAAGTATTTTACAAAATCAGACCAGAGCTGCTTTTATTATGGTTCCTGAAGCAGGCAAAATAAAATACAAAGAGCCTAGCCCAAATTCCCCCAAAGGGGACATCTGGAACTTCTCTTATACATTTTCTGCTCATGTAATTTCTGTACAGACATTCTGCAAATTACATCTATCTTTTTGTAATTCACTTTTACCTTTCTTTGGATTATTATTTCTAGCCTTTCTTTCCTTGTTTCTGAAACAGGTGCTTTTCTTCGGTCTTAGAGAGACATTTTATTTCTCAGATTATGACAGTATCCAAATATGACCTCAGATTCATCCGCACCAAATAGAATTATTTGGGGGCAATGTTCAAGAAACAATGATCAGTCATTACAGTAGAAAGAAATTTTCCATCTGTTTTTCTCAGACCACTTCCAGAGTACTACCCCCACGGGTTGAGAAGTGCAGTAGTGAAGCCACTTAGCACATTGGTGCAGTGAACCTGACCTATACTATATTGATTTCAGGACTGATTCACTTGAATGCTACTGGTACCATTAGTTTTACTTTAGTGCAGTTCTCAAGCAAAGTTGCCTACATATAATGCAGAAATACCTGTGCCAGTAAAAGAATTTATCTGGTGATTTAGTCGGAGTTTTTTTCAGTTGATCTGAAGGAGTTCCACAATGTGTAAGAAGAACAGGGAGCAGAAATTTCAATTAAACACATGAGTCAGGGTATATTTGCCATCATCTGTACCTAGCACAGTGAATGAGCTGTTAGTACAGTGGGCATTCAGGCACAGCTTGTTTATTGTTTATCTGCTGGCCTGGACCAATAAATCTCTGATTCATTCTTTCACCTTTTTCCTGACAGAAAAGGATCAGAAAAGGAGAAAAGCATGGGAAGAAATATTTTGTGCAAAGCCCTTACTCTCCTCTATGCTAAGATCTCCTGTTTCACCTGAAAAATATGTATAAAAAGGACTAATCAACATTCTCTAATCCTCTTCATCCTCTCCACCTTCTCAGTCCTCTAGATTTTCTGAAATGCTATCTACCTGATCGGCTTATGAAAACTTATTTGATATTAAAAACTCATTTTAGAGTATTGCAATATAGTTCATATGGCAAATTCAACAATTTAACTTAACCTTGTCCTTTCAAAGTCTTTAAATACAAGAACTTCAAATGTGAGGCTGTGAAGTGGCACTTCACTCAACATTAAGCTTGCTCATAATGCCCACACTGGTTTGCACCAGATTTAACTATTACCTGAGGCTTTGCCACTACAGATTTGCTGCAGTTCCTTGGTTTTCTTTACTATTTGTCAACATTTTTGGTCGCTTTATAGATGGTGATTATTATAACAAATAACATGACACACTGCTTTGAAGTCTGAAAGTGTAAAATTAAAAATACTAATGTTATCATTCAACTGAAGTTTACACTTTACACAAGGTAAAATACATTGATCAATTTAACCTAGAAAAAGGAGTTTTGGCTCAAGCAAAAAAAAAAAAGGTGGAAAAACAATGCAAATATTTAGCAAAGTTATAAAATAAGCTATTCAAATGTACAAGATGAATTTCCTTGGATTTAGCCAACATGGAGGGATTTTTAAATAAACTTTTGTTCATATTCTAATTAATGAGTAATGCCCTTTTTACAAAGAGGGAACAGTTGGTTTACTGGCTCTATCTCTCCCCAATTAATTTAAATAGAACAACTCACAGAAATTGTAACTATTTCAACTTCATTTATTTCACTCTGGTGTTCTGCTCTGTAAATTAAACTTTTCCCATTTTTTCACCCCATGCATAGAAACAAATATTCTAGAAGAGTGAGTTAGAACCATTCTGAAAACAGGAGCAAATTTTAGATTTATGTAACAGTATGTTATGTAACAGTAAATGACTGTATCATGATACAGCAGCATGTTTTCTTTGTTTTCCACCTTATACTGGTGAAAAGTTTAAAATAATGAATAACATGCAGTACCTAAGTAAATTCAGAGGTTAAATGGAACCACATGAAGGTACAATGCACATGTTGCAACCATTCACTTCACATTCATTCCACCACTGACAGCTCCCAACAGGACTAACCTAACAGCAAGGGCTTAAAGGCTGACAAAACCTCTAGAGGTGTTTACTTTTTTATAAATTTTAAGCAAATTCCCATTCACGTGACCAGGTAATTGCAGCTTAAGCTGTGGAACAGCTAAATGTCAAGTACATTCAAAACACTATGAAAGGTTCTCTCTAATTTGGTTACACACCAAAGCTACAGCAAGAAACTTCCCTAGGAGAGAGCATGTCCTAGGAAACAGGTGGTATTTCCTTCTACCACCTTCCCAGTGTTCAGTCAATGTCAGCTCAGGTTTCTATGCATTTAGTAACTTCCTATAA